GGGTTTTTTTTTTTTTTTAATGAAAAGTGAGTTTTATTTTCATCCTTATAATTTTCTCTATCTTCAAAAAGTTTTCTAGCACAGGAAAAAAGTTTCACTGGTTTTTGTTCTGCTTTGTTTTTAAGGGTACACACACACACACACACACATATATCCCTAATGCAATTAACCAGGTCTTTTCCCCTTTCCAGAATTTTTCTATATCTTTTACATTTCATTCTTCCTCATCTGCAGGTTTATGATTCGTTCAGCAATAGTTTCTCATTGCTGATTTTAAATGATCACCCTTACAATATGGGCCCTTAGGAAATACCTTGTCCTCCACATGGGTGTGACTGTACACACAAAGTAGTCAGATAATAAAGATATAATTTTTAAACCCCACAGGATGAGATTTTTTAAATAACAAAACAAACGGATTTATTTAAAGGAATTTGATACAAGTGTGCATTGTTTGTGAATACACTTCAACTAAATTTTTAGGTCAGGGGCCCTCCATACACTGCCCTGTTGCTGGCACTGTGTTTGGAGAACATCGTACACCGGAAAATCAGATGCATTCTGCAGGTGGAGAATACCATTCCACCCACATTTCTCAGGTGTCCCTGCCTTCCATCTAGTATCTAAACTGTACTTGTCTTAGTTAAAAGCCTGGAAACTCAGCCAACCAGAGAAGAGCAAGAGCATTATCTGCAAGTTCGCTCCAGTCAAACCTTTTGTGAGATGCTCTCTCAGTTCCCTGGACAGCCAGGTGGTACCCTGAATCACCGACTGCAGGAAGCCTGTCCTTCAAAAAAACACCACGCCCTTCACTCTGCTCAGCCTACTCTCCCACCCACACTCACAACCTCCTTCCTCAAAGCTCTAAAGCCCCCACGACCCTATTCCTGACTCCCCCAGCCCGATTTCAGCTTCACCATCCTTCTCCTATTGTTAAACTCACAGCCTTAAGTTCCTTCCTCACATCTACGATCACCAGTCCCCACACCTTCACTTTCCCCTTCCCTATGAAACTCATACTTACCCCCACCCCCATCCCATTCCCATTCCCACCCCACTTCCCCATTCCCGGGACTGCCACCACCAGCGGGAGCCACGTAAGGAAGGCAGCGGCTATGAGGGGTCCCGCCACAGCCCGCCGGCTACAGCTCAATGAGCCTCACTGACCTCAGGACCACACCGCAAAACTAGGGTTTTTAATGACTGATTTTTCAAAAGTAGATTACTAAGCCTTTCTTCTGAAGTGTCTGACTGGACTAGAATCTCTAACATTTCATTTCAGTCAGCGGTGGAACTCATTAGCCATTTGTACCATTCAGGGACTCCATTTGCAATCTGTTGTTGTATACCTTCAAGTCAATTCTAACTCATAGCAACCTTATATGATAGAGTGGAACCTGCCCCATAGTGTTTACTGGGCTGTAATCTTTGAAGAACATGGCATCAGAATTGGAGGAAGACCCATTAACAACCTGCATTATGAAGATAATAGATACAACCTTGCCTGCTGAAACAGATGACTTAAAATACTTACTGATGAAGATCATTGTGATTTGCCCCTCAATGTAAAGAAAACAAATAACATGATAATTGTTAAGAAGATTGAAATAGTCAGAGACTTCATTTTGCTTGGATCTACAATCAACACTCATGGAAGCATCAGTCAAGAAATCAAGCAATGTATTGCATTAGGCAGATCTGCTGCACAAGACCTCTTTAAAGTGTTAAAGAGCAAAGGTGTCAGTTTGAGGACTAAGGTGCACCTGACCTTAGAAGCCAGGACGGCCAGACCTCATCTTTCATACTTCAGACACATAACCAGGAGGGACCAGTCTCTTTATCCTGTGCTTGGTAAAGTGGAGAGTCGGTGAAAAAAAAAAGGAAGACTTCCAATGAAATGGATTGGTACAGTGGCAGCAGTGGGCTCAAGTGTGACAGTTGTAAGGATGGCACATGACTGGGCCAGTGTTTCATTCTGTTGTGCATAAGGTTGCTATGAGTTGGAACATCTAACAACAACACTTTCTCCCACAGAGCTACTGGTGGGTTTAAACTGCGGACGTTTTGGTTAATGGTGCTCAATCTAGCACATAGTGAGTGCTTATTAAATGTTGGATGGTAGAATTTACCCCCTGAAGGGCAAAAATTATGTAATTTCTTTGCATTACTCATGCCCAGGGTCTGCTACCTAGTGGATGCTTGTTATTGTCTTGCCATGATGTTCATTGACAAGTTGAGGGAATGATAGTGGTCTTAACTGTAGACACCAAGGGATGAATAGGTTATATTATTATTTACGTATTATGTCTTTGTAACTAAACACAGCAGTTGTCATGAGTTGGATCCAACTCAATGACAACTAACAACATCTACTATAATACTTAATATGGTTTATTAAAATGGGTTTTATGGTATTTTTCTTTTAGGAATGCCTGAACTAGATGAATACACCATGGAACGGGTCCTGGAGGAATTTGAACAGCGGTGCTATGACAATATGAACCATGCTATCGAGACAGAAGAAGGACTGGGGATTGAATACGATGAAGATGTTGTTTGTGATGTCTGCCAGTCACCTGATGGTGAGGATGGCAACGAGATGGTGTTCTGTGACAAATGCAACATCTGTGTGCACCAGGTATGAGGGGAGGGGAGTGTGGCCCAGAAGCCACCTTGAGTGGGAACCCATTTGACAGCAGCAATTGTCAGGGTTCTTCCAAACGGAATCTGTTTAGATGCCTATTAGACAAAATCTACCATCTCTGCCCCCATTAGGTGTTATTACCCTGTTTAGAGTGTTTCTTGCTACTTTTATAATGGTAACACTAGGATCCTCTATGAAAATGTTCCTTCTTCATTGAGTTTTTATTTCTCGCAGGCTTACTGAAAACGAATATATGAGCCCCCTTTACCTTGGTGTGACAGCTGAATTTAGGTTATTCTAAGAACACTGGACAAAAAATCTTTTAAAAGGTGGCGAGTTTACTAACATGTCATTATATAAACTGAGCTGGTAAAGGAGAGGCAAGAGACCCCTTTTCTTGGAGGTTATTTCCTGTTCTTAATGCTGTCCCTAGAAAGGTAAAGCCTGACTTGAATGAGGAGTGCTGTTGTATTTGTGTGTCATTGAGTCGGTTCTGATGCATAGCCACCCTATATAGCGTTTCTGAGAGCTGCTGGTGGGTCTGAACTGCCAGACTTGGGGTTAGCAGTCTAGTGCTTATCCTGCTGCAGCACACTGGGATGGACACTGGATAGTTTTAAGAGTGTGTGACAATCTCAGTTTCTCTCCGCTCTTTTCTCTTTTAATGCAGCAATGCAGTGATTCGGATTTGTGTGGGGAAATACACTTTTGTGATTTAAAAGGCTATTCTAAGGTACTTTTGAGTTCACCTGATGATGCTGAGATTTTAAAAAGACTTAAAAGGGAGAGACTTGTATAGGTAGTTGCTTGGGTGACCTTGGGAAGAAGAATCAAATTTGCTCCATTGTGCTTTTGATCATCATTTTCCTTATAAAAATGCCTGTCTCTTGGACTTTTCCTCTGAGCGAAACCTTCCCAGCTGTGTCCTTGTCACAGCCCATGTTGAAGAGGAAACTTGAGAACATAATCTCTTGCATTAGTCATGTGCTAGACCATCTTGTAGCTTTGACTTCTTAAATTGTCAAAGAATTCTTAGGATAATGGAGAATGCCTTTAGTGGTTGTGTTGTGCCAGAATCCTGAATACTGTGACTACCATTGTTGCCCCCCACCCCCCACCCCTTTTTTTTGTCGCTGGTGCTTTTCCAATTTATTTACTTGCATGACTTTTTCCTGCCATTTTACTTTTTCCTGTGAAAACATCTGTTTAAAGAAAAGGGTTCTGCTACTAAACATTTGAAAACTACTTAGCCAAACTCCCCTATTTTCTGTGCTGTTAGTGCTAAGGCTATTTGGGTCACACAGTGGGTTACTTTGAACCTGGGGCTCTCTCCTCTGCTCTTGCTCTTCCTGCCATACCACATTGTCTCTTTTCCTTAACATTTACTTCATTTTTCTTTTGAAAAGTCTTTCATGGCTTGTTTTTCTAGTATTCATCTTTTAAATTAGTGTAGATGTACTTTTTCAGTTTTTAAAAAATTCCCCAAAATGTGATTTTCTCTAAAATGCCTGATTAAAGGCACAGGAAGACCCCCAACGAGATGGATTGGCCAAGTGGCAGCATTGATGGACTCAAGAGTGGTAACAGTAGTGAGGTTGGCCCAGGACCGGGCAGTGTTTCTTTCTGCTGTGCAGGTCACTATGAGTTGGTACTGGCTCTGTGGCACCCACCAACAACAACAATAGACCTTTTTAAATTGTGTTATTTAAGTTTTTATTTTCCAGTAAATATGCATTGACAGTGGCTCATTCATGGCACTAGCATAGCTTCCTAAGCGCCAGTCTTCACTCTCGACTTTGAATCTTTGTGGTTTCCTTTCTGCATCCTGGATATTCAGATTACTGCGTGTGGGTTTTGTTTTTTTTTCCCCCTGTCTGGAGCATTAGAGCTATGCGACTGTGACTCTCAACTTCCTGACTTCCAGTTCACATAAGGATAAAGTTCTGAACAGTTTGATCTTTAAAAGGCTCTGAATGTGCTCCTGGTACCATTGTGGCTTTGTGTCTTTATTTCATTTGTTTAACATTTGCCTTTTTTCTCTTTAAGCCATCTTAATTACTTGAGTTGTAAAAGCCTTGATTTCTGCAGTTTTTGCCGTCTTGTGTAATTTTGCCATCATGTGCAAAACGGGCTTTGTTTCCAGTATCAGCTAAAGATACCAAATTCTCTCTTTGTCTTGAATGCCTCATCTGCCTCTGGGGAGAGTATTGGGCTCTAGCTAGGAGTTCTCTTAGCCTAGGGATGAAGATGCTCCTTACTTTGTTTTCTTCTTCATTGCCATCTTAATAGCTTTGGGAGAGTTTTCTCAAATGCTTTGTACTTTCTTCCCTGACTCTGTTGGACTTCCCCCACCAGTCCCCATCAGTAAAGCAGATAATAACAACTTCTTCCCTTTTAACTCTATAGAGTGTTCTAAGGATTTATTGCTCAATTTTCAGAAACGTGCAATAAGTGGGTTTCTCTAGTACCTCAGAGCAGAGTTTTTGTAGACCTGTCTCTTCTTTGAGGAGCTCCTGTGGCAGTGGGTTTGCTTCCCCCCCCCCCCTTTGTTTTCAAGAAACAAACAAACAAAACCTCCCAAACCTGCTGCCATTGAGTTGATTCTACATTGAGTAGAACTACATTCCACAGAGTTTTCAAAGGTTGTCATCTTTTGGAAGTAGATTGTCAAGTCTTTGTTTTGAGGCACCTCTAGAGGCTTTGAATCACCAACCTTTCAGTTAATAACCAAGTGCAGTCTAATTGCACCAACCAGGGGGACCTGTCTGCAGATCTGGCACTTCTTGTCTCACACCCCTCATGGCACTTTACCTGAAGGGAGAGGTTCACAGCTAGGTGGATTTGGGTGTGTCTCTGCTTTGATGGTGGTTGTATTAAAATCTTTCTGGGTGTTTTCACATAAGTGAATATAATGGGAAAAAGAAATCTTTTCTCTTTCTTTGTTTTCCTTGGGGATGTGCTGTGGTGTCACAGGCCTGTTATGGAATCCTCAAGGTGCCAGAGGGCAGTTGGTTGTGCCGGACGTGTGCCCTAGGAGTTCAGCCAAAGTGTTTGCTGTGTCCCAAGAAAGGTGGAGCAATGAAGCCAACCCGCAGTGGAACCAAATGGGTCCATGTCAGCTGTGCTCTATGGATCCCTGAGGTAGGTGTGGGAATTAATAGTACCCTAGCTTGGGCAGGAACCCTGCTGGTAGTGTGGGTGATGTATTGGGCTGCTGCTGCTCCACAGGAGAAAATGAGACTATCGATTCCTGTAGAGTTCTGCTCCATCCTATAGGGTTGCTGTGAGTTGGAATGGCCCGGTGACAGCTGGCCTTCTGACTGGATTGAGCTGGTTGGGATACCATTCATAAATGGCCAGTGTTTTAGCCAATGACCTATTTCTCTTTTAAACTGAATCTCAAGCATATTATCATTTTGTGAGGGTCTGTGCTCATAACTGTGTGGAAAAGTTAGCTGGCAGCACAAGTGAGCTGCAGTCTAGGTTGGTGGTGTTTGCCTTTACTTCAGATGCCAGCACAGCTAGCCTTCCCCCGCCCTGTCACACTCCAGGAGCAGGTCAGGCTGTTGCTCTCTGGGTGCTTAGTGAGCCCTACAAGTGACACACCATGGTTAGGAACCACTGCTCTAGGTCACATGTTGTGATTTTTTTTGGTAAATTATTACTTTAGCTTCAAACTTATAAATTTCAGGTCTGGTCTAATTTCTTTCAAGTCCCAGACCGTGACAAATATAATTTGTTCAGCTCACCTCAGAAATATCATTTGTGATTCAGATGTCAGCATTTTTGGTATGTGATTTTGCTGTATTTTTCTTCCTGGGGATATAGGGTTTGAGACTGAGAAGAGGCAGTCATGATTCCAGTCTTGGTGGCCCTAGTCTCTTGCTTGGGCATCAGCAGGGTACAGTTCAGTGACCTGGGCCAAGTGCTACAGAGACAACACCTCATTATCTTGGTGGTTTTCCACTTCGAATGTAGTAACGTTTTCTCACTGAAGAGAATGACTCCCCTTAGTGAGAGATTAAAAATATATTTATTTATTCCATTGTTGACAATGTGTTTAGATGTATTTAAGATTGTATTTTTAGTCTTGACCACTTCCTTGTGGGCCAGAAATTACAGTAGGTAGATTGCATTGCCTGATACCTAAGTCTTTACTAGTCAAGTGAGGAGTAAAGATTGGGCTATCTAAGTGTTCCCACAAATGGGGATGCCTGTGTTGGACAGATGCCTGGTGTCTGCTGGTGGGAGTTCAAAGCTGGGTCCCTGGTCTTTCTTTGTACTTTTGAAGTAGGAATTTGCTTCTTCTAGAAGGATTAGCATCCTTCACCGCTTGAATGGTAGCTGGGGTGCAAGAAAGGAATGGATCTGTAAGTTTCTCCCATTTTTAAGCCTCTGTCTTACAGCCCATTTTGCTCTTCTTGGACTGCTAGGTGAGCATTGGCAGCCCAGAGAAGATGGAGCCCATCACCAAAGTCTCACACATCCCCAGCAGCCGGTGGGCACTTGTGTGCAGCCTCTGCAATGAGAAGTTTGGGGCCTCCATACAGGTAATTAGTGTGTAAGAAAGGCTTCCTTTTCCTCCCGTGTTGCGGGGAGCAGGACAAGTGGGCTCAGTGAAGTTTTGAAAGGCATGGAGTGGAGCTGGGACGAGCATCCAGAAAGTCGGATGAGAGTCTGATATCCATCCCTTCCACGGTTCCATAGCACTGACTCTGCCTGGTGCAAACATCTTTAGTTGGCTGATTGGGCCCAGTGTAACCAGAGTCTAAGCTATAACAATCTCAAGGTAATTCAGAAATCTGCCTGAGGTGCCAAGCAGTTCCAGTTTGTCTCCATTTCTATCTTTCTGCCCCAAGCTTGGCATCACAGCATCCTTTCACAAGCGAGCACCTTCTGGAAACAATAGAATCTTATAGACATGTACCTCCTTTGACATGAGGCTTAAAAGTTGGTCCTTCTCCCACCTGGGCATTACAGGTGTGCAGCTGTAGACCCATGTTCTGAGGCTGCTGGTTCCCAGGTATGCACGTGGGGTGTGGATGTATTCATGCTTAGGTATACACCTGCTGGTAATCAGCTTGCCATGTGTTATGTTTTATGTTTAAGACACAAACACCTTGGCGCACTGCTCCGACTGTTAGAGGAGCAGATACGAAGTGCTGTAATAAGTGTTATCTGAGAACAATCTGGCTATCTGATTCTTTATGGCACCATATGTGAAAGATAGCAAGTGTGAGTACCAGAGAGAGAAAGAAGGAACGTTTCTGTAAAAAATTGCAGGCATTTCTATGTCCAGTTGCAGAGATGCTTAGAAAGTCAGGAGGCCAATAGAACTGAGAAGGGAATAGATATTTTGCTGTCTATTCTTTCATGTTTTCTGAAACTCTACTCCAGAAACTTATTAATTTCTTAGTCTTACCTTATTGCTATGTTATTGTTAAGTGCCATTGAGTTCTCTGTATAGGGTTACCAACAAGTGACTTGTAAGTCTGAACTGCTGTCCTTGTGGTTCAAACTGACCTTGTGGTCTAGTACTTTATGCCATAGTGACACACCAGGTCTCTATATAGTGGTAGTGGTGGTAGCAGTGTGCTGTGGAGTCGGTTCCGACTCATAGCAACCATACATAGGTTTTCCTAGGATGTAAATCTTTATGGGAGCAGAATGCCGCATCTTTTTCCTGCGGCACTGCTGGTAGTTTCAAACTGCTGACCTTGAGGTTAGCAGCCTGATTTATAATCACTACGCTACCAGAGCTCCTTAGGACTCAATGTAGACAGTCATAATTTGAGAGGTCTGAGTGCTGTTTACTACAATCTCTAAATGCTATGGATTAACTCACATTGGCCTTGTAGGGTGAACCCAGTCCTTCCTGTGGGAGATAACCAGTGCAGGTCATGAGCTCTTGTGTTAATTTCTTCCTCCCATTCTGAGAGCAGAGACACTGTCTTAGGGCAGGGCAGTTTGTCTCTGGGTACAGAAAACACAAAAGCTCAGTACAGAACCAAACTCAAGGAACATGGACTAAGAAACTGCCAGTTGTTGGTTTTAAAGAAATGACCTCATTTGGCAAGCTCAGATTGTGCTTTGGCAGGTAAATATTTCTTTCAGTGAGGTACCTATCTATTTGACTGGTAGTTTAAAATTTTTTTCATTTCTATACAAATGATTTTCTTTGTTATTCCACCAGTGTCCAAGAATCCAAACTGTAACAAGTACTCAGAGTGTGGTGTGATGACCAAAGGGTAGTTTTGGGGATGTGGCTGGGGATTAATTGAAGAGTGAAGTGTTTTTGTTTTTTTGTACGTGAGTAGCATTTGTTTAACACTAAAATGTGACAAAAACATCTAGCTTGAGAGTTGGATTGGGGATGCAGGATGGAGGAGATCCTCAAGTACAGCTTCTAGATAATAAAGAAAGCATTGGTGGTGGCTGTGCGTATGTGTACACGTGTATACACTTGCAGGCAACAAGCTGTGGCAAACCAAGGAAAATGAAAATTACTTTCTTCCAAGTTACTGATGTTCTTTCTCCCTTTTCTCAGCAAGTCAGCCCTGGTCCTTAATTGGTGTTTAAAAGAGGTGGGTGAATGAGATCTTTGTCTCTCTTTTGAAGAGAGCTGATCTAATGACCTCTTTTTCCCAGAACATTAAATCGAAGGAGGAGAGGCCAAGAAGGCTTGGTGGTTTCTCATATCTTTACAGAATGGATTGATTTTATTAAAGAATTCCTCTCTGAAATGTCTGCAGCTGTGAAGGCTCTGGTTTACGTTTGTGTAACATCTGTTTGCTGAGTCAACCTGAATAGGAAAACCCTGAGGAAGGCCATGTGGCGCCTTTACAAACTCCTATATAAATACTCCGCTGTAGCTCATTTCTCTCGAAGGTCATAGCGAAGTGCAGTGGAAGCCTTACACTGGATCGTGTCTCGGTCACTTGTTCCCATTTCCCCCTCCCACTTGGCTGCGTGCTGAAAGGCAGGACCACTTTGTGTTTTAATGATAGTGGCCAGGTGTGTATGTGTGGGTTCTGCCACCAAAGCCTATTTCACACATTTTTTTGGAATTGTGGTTATTTATAGATACATTTACAGATTTGTGTTCATGTGCTGTAGGTGTTTGTAGTAGGGGAGTAGAGGAGGGAGTAGGATTATTTTCTGTACTTGTGAGTCAAAGAGCCCTCATAGTATTGAAGACATCACGGCTGGCAGAGTGTCACCTCTTAAACACTAACATGATCAGGGGAAAAGGCCCCAACTTCAGCCTCTGCCATTTGTGGTTATGTGATTCCAGGTCTGTTGAATGAGTTTAATTAAGCATTGCAGTTGGCCCAGAGCCACTGGATTGCACTCCTCTCAGCAGCGGCAGCCCTGGTGTGCCCTGGGGACCGCTTGGCCTCACAGAATACTGCGCTGCTTTTAAGGGACTGGCTTCAGTCACCACAAGGCGCTCCTTCCAGGGATTCACTCAGCAAGATCAGTCAGGAAGAAGTTAATCACTTCTCTCAGCCAGGACTTTGGCTTGCGGGCCTCTGGCTTGTCATCCAGATCAAAGGCACTCAATTCCAACTCTGATTAAGCAGTGGGAGGGAGGTGTTTAGCGAGAAGGGGAAGCACAGCTTTACGATGCCTGGCCTCCAGGTTGACTTCTGGCTACCACAGGAAGTGGGTCCCTCACAGTCTTTTCAGCCCAAAATGACACTGGAGCAGCGAATGCCTATTGGGCATTGGAGCACAAGGTCCTTGTGTTTAGTCTCCGGCTCCCTGCAGCCATTGCGTCTGCGCAGCTTCCTAACTGCTCTTCCTGGCCTTGAATCATCTTGTCTGCCGTTCTTTTTCACTCTTCACCTAGGGCTTTTTATTTACCCTCACCAGTCTTCACCCTTGTGCTGCTTCCAGGAAGTTAACTGTTTATATCCTACTTATTTGGGGCTCTTCTTGGCTAGGGGCTAAAAATGAAGACTCATGTTCCTTTTAAAACATTCAGGAGGAGAGTCTGATCATTCAAGCTTTTTATATAAACACTAACCCATTGCCACTGAGTCAGTTCTGACACATAGTGACCCTATAGGACAGAACTGCTCCTTAGGGTTTCTAAGACTCTAAATCTTTATGGGAGCAGACAGCCTCGTTTTTCTTCTGTGAAACAGCTGGTAGGTTTGAACCACTGACCTTATAGTTAGCAGTCCAATGTTTAACCTGCTGTGCCACTAGGGCTTCCTATAAACACTACAAGAAAAAGCAAATTACAACCTCTGTGTACTCTGCATGTAGATCACATGTCCTTTTGTATATAACCCAAGTGCTACATGAGTCATTTATATAATTGTTTGTGCTTTAAGAGGAAATTTGAATGTGGACACTTTTCTAACAAAGTTATGGTCTACAAAGCCTTTCCATTAAAGAGTTCTCTTAAATTTTAAACCTTACCTTGCTTAGAACGTGGTTTGATCTGCCTGAGTTATTTTGTGACAGATAAATTTTTCCTGTCACAGTAAAATGCTGAAATATGGCTCCTTTTTATGTATGTATGTGGTGTCTGACACTGAGGGACTTCATTCACTGTCACTCCATAATCGTCTTTTTTTTCTCTGTCCTTTGCATGTTGTTGCCAGTGCTCTGTGAAGAACTGCCGCACTGCCTTCCACGTGACCTGTGCTTTCGATCGCGGCCTGGAGATGAAGACCATCCTGGCTGAGAACGATGAAGTCAAGTTCAAATCCTACTGCCCGAAGCACAGCTCACATAGAAAACCCGAGGAGAGCCGGGGTGAGGGGGCCACTCAGGAGAACGGGGCCCCTGAGTGTTCCCTCCAGAACCCACTGGAGCCCTTTGCCAACCTGGAGCAGAATCGGGAGGAGGCCCACCGGGTGAGTGTACGTAAGCAGAAGCTGCAGCAGCTGGAGGACGAGTTCTACACCTTCGTCAACCTGCTGGATGTTGCCAGGGCCCTGCGGCTGCCTGAGGAAGTGGTGGATTTTCTGTACCAGTACTGGAAATTGAAGAGGAAGGTCAACTTCAACAAGCCCCTGATCACTCCAAAGAAAGACGAAGAGGACAATCTAGCGAAGCGGGAGCAGGATGTCTTGTTTAGGAGGCTGCAGCTGTTCACTCACTTGCGGCAGGACCTGGAGAGGGTAATGATTGACACTGACACCTTATAGTGACTTAGAGAAGAAGATTGCAAAGAGTACCAACACTTGCCCAGAGCAAGAAATGATAGCCAGTTTCATATATTCTCAGACCCTTGTACATTCTGCAGCATGAGGTTGTGTCGGTTACATATAATTATGGGCTGGTAAACTCATTGTACTTATGTGCAAGACTGTCACAGAGTGGGGAGCTTCTCTGTGATTTTTGTGTGTGTGTGGAAACACTTTCCCATAATCCTTACTGTTCTTCTGCAAGATCAATCGGGATGTGTCTTCCTCCTTCTCCCCTACATTCTAGATCTAGAGGGAACTGAGCCCAAGGGATTGACTCAATTATTTATAAGCTGAGTTAGAAAATCAGAATGGATTTTATTTATAGGGGACAGAGGTAGGAAAATCTCTTGTTAAACTGGGGGGAAATAATACTTAACTAGGTGCTGGCAATGGGCTCATTTCAGTGAGCTGAGTTCTGCCTCCTGCTGCCTGCCTTCGTGTCTTGGCTCATCCCCAGGGTCATTCCCAGTGCTGTCACGGAGCAGAGCAGGCTATGGGTGCTGATGTGTGTGCATGAACTAACATACACATGCATTTCTGTTACAGAAGACACTCCTGGCAGTGAGGTGCTAAGTCATCACTGAGGCTGTGTATATACTCTCTATGTGCGGTGTGTGTTTGTGTGCAGCTGTGGGGTGGTCATCAGGGCTGGCTGAGGAGTCCCAGGAATGCTCAGCACACCACAGATGTGTTGTTTGTCACACTACTGGATTGCTGAATGTAGTGGCTGTTGGCTGCAGGAGCTTCAGCTGATGGCGTTTCCTTCAGTGCGTTTGCTGCTTTGTACCTCCCCCTGTCTCCGTTACCTTTAGTCCCTGTCCCCTGTTGGCTGGACCTCCCTCCCTGCTACAGGAATAATTAGGAGTGGGCTTTCTTGCCTCCAGGGTCTCTTGCTCCCTGCAGATAGTTTCTGACTGAGGCTTGCTAATTGGGGATGCCATTTTCCAGCACCTTCTGTGTTAACTTCCCTGACTGCTGGCTAAGATTAAATTCATTAGTGCCCAGTAGGTGGGACTGAGGCTTTCTGGCCTAAAGCAGCTTGCACTGAAAGGCACCCAAGTGGCTTGAAACAGTGAATGCATCTCCCCCAAACACCTAACTTATTATTGGGGAGTGATTCACCTGCCTGGGAGAGGATCTGACTTGTGAGTTATTGAAAATGAGAATGTGGGTAAAGACGAGAGAGAAACTGGAGAAGTATTGAACCTTAAGATCCAGATTTCACAGAGACCTGTCTGACATTGTTAGAGATGGCACAGAAGTGAAAGTATTTTTAAGAGCTCATTAGAGATGCTTTAGGACATGATCCAAGTGTACCAGGTTAAGACTCAGGGAAGGTGGGCACTTCAGGCTAAGACGCCTTCCTCCATCCTGAGAAGGGTTTGTGAGGTTTTTGTGCTCCTATCCGCCCCCTGGTGGCGAGTGTGAAGAAGACCATGCCTCTCTCAACTGCTTATGTGGCATTTTTGTTAAGAAATGAGCAAGGGATTCAGGAGAAGTTGGAATCCTGTTGAGAAGTCATTATCCGATCCTGACAACGGCTGTAACTGGGGTGCATGAGCTATGGAGTCAGATAGTCCTCGGGAGGGGAGGACGAGAAGTCTAATGTTTGGACTGTGTTTGTCTCACAATCACCACAAAATAAAAGTGTAGAAAATGCTTGTGGTGTACTAACTCTTTTCTGTGCTAAAGTAACTCAGATTAACATGCATTTACAATTAAATTTTAAACATTTTTTGGAGTCATTACTGTTGCTTTTAAAGTAGACCGTTGATGTATGAGAAACAGGGAATAAATAGGATTTGTGTGTGTATGTGTGGCATTACTTACATTTAATTTATTAAAGAGCCTAAGAGATTTTAGGGAAATTAGGGCAGTTTAAAATGAGTTTATTATAGTGAAAAAATTATGTTTTCCAGAAATCTGCCATGAGGCATGTGATGGTTGAGACTTAAAAAAAAAAAAATGGAAATCTTTGCCATACCCCAGATGATTGTACAGTTCTTTGTAATTAAAACCCAAAATATATCAGGCCAAAGGCTCATTAGGGCAGGGGGCACAATAATGCTATTACTTTGTTTTCTCCAGTAAGTTCGAGTTCTACCCAATTCACACCACAGCATCTCATGGCAGGTACTCAGAATCAGTGAACACATGTGACTAGAATCAAGGCATATGGCCATTCCTAAACTAACAATCTAGTAGCCTTCATTAGAAATGCAAACAACTCTGATGAATGATTTTATGGTAATTGCTTCTTCCTGCAAATACACACCCTGGGGCCTTGCACACCTGGGTACCAGTCCTGAATCAGAAAGTTAGATGACAGGCAGGGTGTACAGGAGGGCTTGGGAGCCCAGTACTTTCAGAAGAAACGATCGCTGACGTGGTGGGTGGTCACATTGAATTCCCAAGGCCACCACTTGGCTCTCTTGGTGTGGGAAACTCTTCCCCTGACCATATGAAATCTGCAAATGAGGACTTATTCAGACAAAAGCATGCTACGTCTGCAGCTTCGGCTAGTGCTACCAAAAGGGAACTAGTCCAGGAGGACTGTCCTACTCACCGCATAGTGCAATGGTCACCTTTGAAAATCTGATTTGAGATTCCAGTCCTCCCCTGAAAACAAGGCACTTTATGCTCCCATGTTGCAGTCTTTGGGATTCAAGGAAAACCCTTGATACCATTCTGGATTCCTTAGGATAGTTACTTTCAAAGTGTGATCCCTGGCAGGCCAGCAGCATCACCTGGAAACTTAACCATAAATGCAAATTTTGGGTCCCACCCCCTGTCCTGGACACTGGTGACAGGGTGGAGGGTGGCAGCCAGCATGCTAGTGTGTTGTTAAAATTCTCCAGGTGTTTCTGATGCCTGCTGGAGTTTGGGCCACTACTTTAGGGGTAATTATGACGCTCGGTTAAACATGACTCAGAGCACAATCATGAGCTGGCTTTTTGGGGCATCTCTTTGCTGGCCACCGGCAGAAGATGAAGGTGGAGTTTGAGTAGCATACAGGCAGGCAAGATAAGTTTTGAGGAGAGTAGAAGAACCTCAGTGCATCTCTTTATACAGAGGCTGCTGATTAGAGAAGGGAGTTTTCCCAGCCTCAGTGAGGGAGATAAGGTTTAGGCTTCTAAGGTGTGGCCAGCCAACCCTCCCTGGATTATTCGGGGGCTGATTTGTTACAGTTGAAAATTAACCAAGGCATTTGCTTTATTGGTGTCTCTTTAGACATTTTTCATCAGAGAGCTTGCGGAATAGCATGGAAGTTTTTTACTTAACAGTGAATTCTGTGGTGGGAGGAGGGTGGACTGGTTGCAGGTTTCACAATTAAATTTGAACACCATATAATTTTCAGAGTCCCTGATTTCCATATGTTCATGGATAATTTCAAGTATGAGGTGTCTCTCTCTGCTTTATATCTGACAGAGTAGTCAGCTCTTATGATGTCAGGGAATTTATTTCCTTTTCCAGATGTCAGATTCTGCGGTGTTTGTCCTCAAACGTCTGAATTTGCAATATGGATATAGATTCTGTCCCTTCTTGTGCTTCACCTATTCGTCTCAGCTAGCTGGAGCAAAGTACCAAAGAATAGCCTGTTAGCTGCCTCTACCCCTAAGCTGGGCAGGACTTTTATAACAGACCATCTAATTACTGATCTGGAGTCCTGGCGTGGCACTGTAGGATAAGTGCAGGGGACCGCAAGTTCAGTTTGAACCACAAGGTAGGTGGTTCAAACTCACCAGCTGCTCCTTGGAAACCCTATACTGGATCTCTATGAGTCGAAACTGACTCAACAGCACTTAACAACAATTACCTGGGGAAGGTGAGGCTATGTCAAACAAGGAACATGCGAATGACCCCAAAATAACACTCAGGGAGTTATTTTCTTCACAATTCTTTACTTTTAAAACAATATTTTATTAAGCAGTGCTAGTAAGATAAGGAAATCATTGCACAAATAAAAGGAAGATCCTGATAGTTATTGGAACTGTCAGGGTCCAAGAAGCCTGATATGACTTTCCTATTTAAACCAGGAAATCAATACTATGATATGAATGTGTAAGCCAGCCACCATTCTTTTTTGTTTAGGCCTCTTGCAACAGAAGTGCCAGGAACACCATTCAAGGAGCGGGAGAGGCAGACAACTCCACTTGATAGGGCTCAGAAAGGACCAAAAAACTTAGGGGAAGTGTCTGTACATAAGCCTGTATGCGAAGTCTAATACATAAGGAGTGTACCATCCCACTACCAAAAAGAGATGGTTGATGACTTGAACTTTTTCCATTCAAAGTACAGTGGCAGGAGAAGGCATCAGGCAGGGGAAGGTATAAGGAAGATGTGATTTTTAGGAGAGCAGTCATGTCACTGAGGTGCCTGAGTGGCTCAAATGGTTTGTACTTGACGACTAACCTAAAGGTTGACAGTTCAAACCCCCACCCTGTTTTGCCATGGAAGAAAGCTCTGATTTGCTGCCATAAAGAATACAAGCACGAAAAGTCAATGGAGCAGTTCTGCGTGGGGTCGCCAGGAGTCAGGGCCAGCTCAACAGGTTTGGCTTATGATAGTCACATCATCAATACTTCTGGGGGCCTGGTGGCACAGCGGTTAAAGCGCTCCGCTGCCAATGGCAAGGTCAGTGATTGAAAACCACCAATGCCTCTGTGGAAGAAAGATGAGGCAATCTGCTTCCATAAAGATTACAGTCTCGGAAACCTTACAGGGCAGTTCTACTGTGTCCTCTAGGTTCACTGTGAGTCAGAATGAAGGCAATGGATTTGTTTTTTGAGGTCAATAATGGTAGTTTCTGATTGGGACTACATGATCATGTGTCACACCTCTTACTGAGGTAGATAATTTGGGAGGTCTTGTCTGCATCTTCCTGAGGAAATGTTTAGTTGTATATCCTGTGTGTTGCAGTTGACATTTTTGTCTTTTCAGGCCCATGTAGCCTAGTCAAATTTGCCAATGGAGTAGGATATTGGAACTTAAGGAGTAAGGGGGTTTTCTGACTAATTCTTTAAATTTTCATTCTGTCTTGCCTGATTACAGGTGGCTTTAAAAAGGGGTCTGAATCTTAAGTATTAATAGGGCTAGTGAGCATGTGCACATGAACACCAATGGGTGTATGTCAGAGAATGGGGCTCTTAGCACTTGGATTTTCAGTTATTTACAAATAGAGAGAGGATAGTTTTTCAAGTGGTCATATAGAGACTTAAAATCACACAGCAAATCACGGGCGAAACTGGAAGGCGGTTCCCTAGGCATTATTAGCTACTTACTAGATAATAGTGTTTAGTTGGGTCCTCCTGATAGTCTTTGGCCCTGTGCATGCTGAACTCCACCTTCAAAAGATGCTTTGTAAAATGAGGCAGAGGTGGCTTCTGAATTTCTCTAAAGCCTCAGATAATAGAATTAATGGGAAGAAGGTCAATTGAGAGGTAGTAACGAAAGAACTTTGGCCAAAGGTAGCAAATCCTGACTTGGACGCCGTGACCTGAGGCTGAGTATGATGAAGGGACCGGGCTTTTGTAGGTGTTTGTTCTACAACCTAGCCCCTCCTGTGTTGCTGCTACCTCAATTAAAGGGTATACAGTGGAGTCTTTATGAGTAGCCCAAAAAATTAAGAGATGGAATAAAATGCTTAAAGTACATTTTGATTTTAAATGTCTGCCAAGGCCCTAATAGGCCTAATTTGTCTCAGGTTGAAAACAAACAAACACCAAAGTACTGTTAAAATGTTATGTTTACTTAGAATCTTTATTCTCTACATTCTAGGTTCGGAACCTCACTTACATGGTGACCCGCAGGGAAAAGATTAAACGATCTGTGTGCAAAGTCCAGGAACAGATATTCAATCTTTACACTAAGCTCTTGGAGCAAGAAAAAATTTCAGGTATGCATTAAGCCCTTGTAGGTCAAAATATAGGGCAGGGGTTTATAAGCTGTAGAGAACATAACACTAGGTTAAGGGGACTAAAACCGAAAACATTTCTTTATTCATTCTCTCACCTGTCCTAGAAGAATTTGAGAAGCACAGCCTTTCATATTTAAAGAAAAATTTTAGGCATTTGAGGAATCACGGTACAGGGGGAAGAGTTATAAATTTGACCTTAAATATGAGTTGAGTCCTTTATCCTCTATTTCCAGGCCAAACACAAACATGTTTTCTGAGTCTCAGTTTCCTCATACTTCTCAAGCTACTTCTAGGAGTTGCTATGAGGCCTAAATGAAACAGTGACTTGTCCTAGGGGGCTTCAAAAAGTTTGTGGAAAAATAGAATGAAAAGATAAAGAAGTTGGTATCATTATGGGGTAGCAAGCAGTTCAAACCCACTAGTCGCTCCTTGGAAACCCTATACAGGGTTGTTAATGAGTCAGAACCGACTCAACAGCACAACAAAAAGAGTTATAGGTCACCTAGCATTTGGATTTGTCTGTATCAAATGGTAACTATATCTTCAGACAATTTTTTTTTAAGACACATGTCCATGTTTAGCTAACATTTACAGTGGACTTGGAAAATAAGGACAGAGTTAGGTAAGTTGCTCAACATCTCTGGGACTCAGTTGATCTGTTAAAACAAGGTTTGGTCTAGAATCATAACATCCTCTAAAGGGCCTTCAGCCCTCTGTGATGATAATTGTTGGTGCTATCAAGTTGGTTCCAACTCATAGCAACCCTGTTTAGGGTTTCTGAAGGGGTGGCTGGTGGGCTTAAACCGCTGACCTTGTGGATGGCAGTCCAGTGCTTATCTTGCAGTGCCACACGAGGACTCTGATGATAAGTACCCCAAAGCAGATATTAGAAGGGCTTCTGAGCAGAAGATCTGTTGAGGGAGATCAGGCAGAATTGTGAATTCGTGGAACATGGGTTGGTCGTAGACTGGAATTGAATGGACAACAGTGAGCCTCTCTTTGGCCTTGTCTGCTCGCCCTTACATTGCATTTAGTCGGTGTACTCCTCTTATCTTCTACGTTGGCAGCTTTTTTCACTGTACCTGGATTATTATGCCACATAGTAACAACACACAAGTTGTTATAACTATTAAGTTAAAATTCAAATTCTAGCCTACCAATAACTAACCAGATATATGTGTCTACAGGTAAATTGGTTAGTTGAGCAAATATAGAAAAGTTTAGGAAGTTAATAATGGTATTCAATTCGAAGTGTTACATTGTTTTACTGGCATTAACTTATTGCTAGATTTATCCGTGCCATTTTCTCAAAATTAAATGTTTTCTAGATGTATCAAGCTTATGCTGTTAGTTGGAGTTTGGAGTTTAGCTTTTCCTTTAAAATAGTTTTTTAGGTATTCTGCGCAAATGGAGTTCAATTCAGATTTTTTACTCTATTCCAGCTCAACATTGCTACTTGAATATCTGTTTTATCTGAGGCCTTTGTATCCCTGTGCAAACAACCACGTGCAGGAAAGGCTGCTGTGTGCAGGCACTTCTAGTAACCATTGTCAATAATGCCGGTTGCGCATGTGGAGTTGTGCCATTGGAGGGCTCTCTGTGACTCCTGTTACGTTGCTGTGTAATGAATGATTACCTATACAAATAAGCTATAAAGAGCATTTCCATCTGATTACATTTGAAAGAGTCAGTTTTCACAACAATTGCAGGTAGCTTGTTGCATTTCACGGCTGAGTCTTTTACTTGAATGAATGGGATTTGTAACTAGGCTAGAAAGTGTTTTGTGTAACAGAGCTGCAATGTGGCTCTGTATTCAGAAGTACTACTGTTGTTTCAGAGGGGAAAAAAAAGAAATCCTTCCTTCACGGTGAGGTGAGAACTGTACTAGGTATCCTGGGTTGAAGGCTACGTTAATCATCCTGTGGCATGTTACAGAAAATGGAACCAAAACTCTTGGGGATGGCTTTCTTTCTCTTTTCCCAGTGTTAGATAGATGTTCAGTTGTGTTCTTATTCATCCCTAAACTCAAGCTCCTGCTTTGCAAGACAGATGCTTCCAAGCGAAGCTGAGCAGATGGCCGTGACTTATGCGTGTCATTTGGGGTTCATGATTTAAACTATGCTGTGTGACTCTGAGTGGAGTGAGTCCTAGTGCTTATAGGAGGTCATGAATCAGGCACCCTGCAGAGACATGAATCCTAAGTCAAATCAAATTTCAGAAAACATCAGTCCTCTTACCTTTCTGTCTGGCTTCTTGCATGAGGTGATTGAGAAATGTGTTAAGTTGTGGTGTTAAGATTAACCTTCATGCCACTCAAATGAGAAAACAGGCATTTCCAGACTAGCACATTGTAAAATGCTGTCATCAGTGATTATGACATTTACAAGTCCACTAGCTAATGCCCTGTTGGTTTGCAGCGTCCTTATCTACTCATCAGTAACTTCTCATGTAGGGGGCTCCTGTCTCATACTCCAGACAGAACGCTGGAAATGGAAACGGTTTTTTGTAGATGCTCTTGAGGCTCTTGTACAAAGGCTTCCTGATGAGCTGCATTAACCCAGTGATTTTTCAAGCTATGGATTATGACTCTAGTGGGCTGTGTGATGAATTTGGTGGTTCATGACCAACATTAAAAATAAGTGAAATAAAATTGTGGTGATAAGGGCTAATATTGTTTCATTAAATATGAGCTTTTACTGAGTCATGTTGTGAAATTGATCTGATTGTGATTTGCACCCAAAAATTCTGAAAACTACGAATTTAACCTACCTTCAAATGGGGTGACAATTCATGTGATTACCACAAATGGACTTTTTATGAGTGTATGCAATGGTTTTTTTTTTAATACTTATTGTCAAGCATTTTATAAACACTTTAGTTAATTCCCCTATTGACATGTATTTATAACCAAGGAGAGAACAGATGCTTTGGAGAAAAAAAACTTAAAAAGTCCCAACCCCTGGTCTCCTGATCCTCCCAGTCTTACAGGAAAGGCCGATGGCTGGATAGTGAAAACTTGCTGCCTTGAATGAGGGATAAGGGGATTAACAATTAGACACATGCATTGTTATCCTTTGAAAATCACATCATTTTGGTTTTTTGAAGGAAAAGGTAATTCTTAAAAAAAAATGTCGTTTTATGAAAAATTACATACACTTCAACTGATTTAGAAAACAGAGCATGCTGAGTGTGCAGATTGAACGTAGCATCTTAGGGCAGGTTGCATCTTTGAAAATCAGCTTTATAAACTGGGTGGTGTGAATTACGTTGTACTGTTGGGTGGGAAATGTGCACAAACAGGATCATGCTAAGGGTGTGGAGGTTTGTTCTTTTGGATATACTTCTGTAATTTTTATTTATTTGTGGTTTTATACTTATAGGTGTGCCTTCTTCCTCCTGCTCCTCCTCCTCATTGGAAAACATGCTTTTATTTAACAGTCCTTCTGTGGGCCCTGATGCTCCCAAAATAGAGGATTTGAAGTGGCATTCTGCATTCTTCAGGAAACAAATGGGTACTTCTTTGGTCCGTTCTCTGAAAAAGTCCCACAAGCGAGATCCATTACAGAATAGTGCTGTGAGCGAAGGCAAGACTCTGCTCAAGCAGCCAGACCTGTGTGGTAGGCGGGAGGGGATGATGGGCCCGGAGACCTTTTTGAGTTTTGAAAAGACCTTTGCAGAAGCACGTATCATATCAGCACAACAGAAGAATGGCGTGGTGATGCCAGACCATGGGAAAAGAAGAGACAATCGTTTTCATTGTGATCTCATTAAGGGAGACTTAAAAGACAGATCTTTTAAACAGAGTCACAAGCCTCTCAGGTCCACAGATGTGTCCCAGAGGCATCTGGACAACGCCCGAGCCGCTGCCACCTCCCTGGGAGTGGGGCAGTTGGCATCCAGCACCAGGAAGGAGATAGTGCCCAAATGTAATGGCTCCCTAATCAAAGTAAACTATAACCAGACAGCAGTCAAAGTGCCTACAACACCTGCCAGCCCAGTGAAGAACTGGGGAGGATTCCGGATTCCAAAGAAGGGGGAGCGGCAGCAACAGGGAGAAGCCCACGAGGGGGCCTGCCACCAGCACTCAGACTACCCATACCTGGGCTTAGGCCGAGTTCCAGTCAAAGAAAGGGCAAAAAACAAATTAAAATCCGACAATGAGAATGACGGGTATGTCCCGGATGTAGAAATGAGTGACTCAGAGAGTGAGGCATCAGAGAAGAAATGTATACACGCCAACAGCACTATCAACAGGAGGACAGACATTATCAGGAGAAGCATCTTAGCCTCCTGATGGAGTGGAGAAAGCACACTGGGAGCTTGTCCTGGGCTGTGCTAGAGAAGGGTGCTGACAGTGGACACGCAGAAACCAACCCGTTACACCCGAGCTACAGACACATTTGCTTGCAATTCAGACTGGTTTTTTTTCTGCCATCATTTCTAAATCATTGTGAGATATTTGTGTTATTTGCAACTTGTTGAGGAAACAGGAGAGTCGGTTGTAACTGGAAGACACTGCTCAGACTAGAACCTGAATCCAACACTAAAATGAGAATGAATGAAGTAAGTTTTAAAGAGGGCAAGGCTTAAGTAAGCCTCATGAGTTTTATTGCTCTCTGGATTCTTTCCAAAGCACAAAGTCTTGGTTACCTGAACATATAGGGTATCAAACATGATTCATGAGAAACACTCATGCACTGTTTATTAGCCCAGAAAACTTAGTCTCTAGACTGTGGTAGATCTTGAACTCCTATTTCTACTTTGCCCACAAGGCTGTTTTTGTTGTGTTACAGTGTACAGACAGCAGCTCTAAAGCGTCTGTAACTCTAGGAAATGTCTTATGTAAATATAACAGAAGGGGAAAAGAGAATTAAAGAAAAGGTCATTACTGGAACTGCTGAATGGACAGGATAGAGCTGCCGCAGCTTGGAGAACTAGGGTGGCACAAGACCCCTTGAGTGGGTGTGGCTATAGGACCGAAGAGAGCGAAGTCATTAGGAGAGCTCTGTCTGTAATGAAGGGCAGTTGAGGTCCAATTTTTACCAGTACTCTTGACTTTCCTCTTCCCTAAGCATTGGCCCCTGGGCCAGCATGGGATTTCCCAGGCCGTTGGCAATACCTGGCCATCTGGCTTCCAACAATACAATGGCTATTCAAGTTCAAGGTGAAGAATTTCCAGATTCTGGTGACTCAAATTTCTCAGAGCCAACCACTAGTGCATATGTTGGGGAATCCAGGCTTCCAAAATGAATGGATTCCTTAAAAAGAAAAAAAGGAAAAAAAAAAAAAAAAAAAGAATAAAAAGAAAACAAGAAAAATAGGTTATATTTGAAAAACAATGGAAAGGCAATAAGTTGTGATAGCTTTTATCATTGACCAAGGTTAGACAGGAAAGAGGTTGAAACTTACTCCTGAATATGTTTTATGGAGTCAGAGATCTAAGCTCTTAAATCGTAACTTAGACTTTCTAGTTGCAAATGGCAATAACTAGTAAGTGATCAGCAATAATAAATTTAGCATTAAATTTGAGTACATTGTTCTGTTTTTGCACTCACTGTAGTGCGTATGTATTAAGACAGTGGATGGTGTTAAGGTCCTGTTATTTTCTTTGGAATTCAATGTAGTTGTGAATCAAATTTAAAAGAAACAAAGTTTAAATAGCAATGAGATTTAGAATTAAGGGTACTTGGAACAAGCCCGACTTCCCTTAAATGGTCCCTTAGTTTATTAATATCAGTATTCAGATCCTGATTCATTTATACATCTGTTTCCATATGGCAGGGACATTCTGATACTTGATGAATAATGCTTGAGTTCTGTAGTTAACTTTCAAGTCTTCCAGATGATGTCAACAACAAAAAAGGCTTATTGAATTCCATCTTGCTATGCAAGTTTTATCAGATGATTAAATAGTAGATCTGATGCATCCCCATTGTATGTATGACATTTTCAAAGCAGGTCTTAACTTTTTGAGTACATTTTAGTAGCTAATTCAGGGGAGGGGAAAGAATGACCCAGGTTTTTTAGACTATTTTTGAGCAATGGGTCTCATTTAGAAAGACTGCTGTCCAGATAAGCTTGTTGCTACAGAGATTAGAAGGTTCTTAAGAATCCAGGTTGTACATTTACCCATTTAAAGATCAGATTTTCTTTTTCCTGGCATATGAGCAAAACCCTTTGGCTGGATTCAGGACTAGGTAGACTAGTTACAGTTATCTTTTGATTACAGCAACAGCTCTGGGTGAGTGGGATTTATAGACGATAATTTGTCAAGCCATAGTAAGAAAATCTAAATTAATTCTAGTAAGTATATGACCTCTCACCATTTTAAGAGGTCCCAGATTGATTTGCACTATTAGGAATGCTAGTTTTGTGCAAAAAGTAATGCCTTACCTGTTTTTTTCCCCACGTTTAGGTTGAAAAGCTTTCAAACGTTCCAAGTTATGCTGAACCAAAAACAAAACAAAACAAAACAACAAGAAAAATCCCCCAAATAAATAATAATAATAAAAACCCATACAAAAACAATAGATACAAAAACAAAAAATCCAACAAGCCCACACTTTTTATTCCTGCTTCGAAATGCAAATGGTTTAGAGAGCAGTTTCTCTGACAGTATAATGATAGCTTTGTAAGGTAGTTTCATGTCATGCTGGGAACTCTGTATGAGGTGGCCATACGCAGCAACCAATCCAACCTACCCACTTGCATTCTATTAGAATGGAACCATTTGCTTTCTTGTTTTTCTTTACAATTTTTTTTTTGTTTGTTTCTTTAGCTTTATCTTTCCTTGTGCATCCTGACCAAGAAATATCTTTGATTATGATCAGTGTATTATGTCAAAATGTAGACTAGTTAAACTTTTGTAAAGTTGCCTGGAATGTCATTTGTTAGGTTATAAACACAAAATCTAAATGAAGGGTTCTATGTGTTGTGTACAAATCTTAATTATTTTGAAATGGACAAACTTGTCATTACATTTGTAACCTTGTACAGAGGATTTTTCACTATGTGCCTAGCTTGGTGTCCATTCAGCTAAAATTGAAAAAAAAAAAAAAGGTGCATGAAGAGATAAAATTCAGAAATTAAACAAAGTATATGTAGAGATGACTATTTTATATTACACGGCCCAATCCTGTATTTATTTCTATCCTCTTTTTGAAAATATTTATAAAACTAGTTGAGGACAGCTGTATTTTTTTGTTGAACTATTTAGTAGAATTTGTGCCTTTTTGTCTGTATGTGAATAAATGCTGTACATTTTGCAATACATTTCAAACTGTCTTTTGAAATCTGCTTTTGTGAAATATTTTAAGTCCTGTGTTGTAGTTAGGTATCATTGAGTTGGTTTGGACTCCTAGCAGCCCTGTGTGTAGCAGAAGAAAACACAGCTCAGTCCTGTGCTGTCTTCACAGTTGTTATGTTATGTTTGAGCCCAGTGTTGCAGCCACTGTTTCAGTCCATCTTGTTGAGGGTCGTCTTCTTTTTTGATGACCCCCTACTGACTTAGCAACCCTGAATCTGTACTTGTTTAGTGTGTAACTAAAGTTTAGTTTAGGAAGGAGAACTGGAGGAGGGAGCATATCAAGATTATAAAAGATTACAGATTCACTGGGTCACTTTCTGGTTCAACTCTGATAGTTTAAGACTTTGAAAAGTGTTAAGTTTGATTTTATGCTCTCCCACTTGATGTTCTTTCCAGAACACAGTTTTGTAATGTGTTGAGGTAACATAGATTAGGATCAGATGCTGAATTTAAAGGCTGAGCTATAATTTATTAGTCATGTGATTTTGGCCAAGTCATTTATGCTTTGCAAACCTGTTTCTCATTTGTAAAAAGAATATAACAGCTTATGGGTTATTGTGATGTTTAAATGATAGAGCATCTCATACTGAGCATTTAGCAAATAGTAGGCTATTATTATTATTGATACTTGAAACAACACTGCGTTTTGCAATGTAATTTTAACTGATGAAACTTCTAATGTATAGCATGCTATTCTTCAGTAACGGGAAGGCTGTATTTATTAGGAATGTAAAAAAAATTAATTTTTCACAGCGTTGTTTCATTAAATGTTTTCATTCAATCATAGAACTCTGAAATAGCAGGGCCAAGAACAGATAATCTGCATTTTACTGAAAAGATTTGTTCAAGATCACAGCATCAGCCAGGCTTGAAACAGTTTATAAAAGCACAATATGCAGAAATTATCATACAATGAAATACACCTTTCTTTTTGGTGGGAACAGCAAATCTGGTATGGATTACTTTTCCTCGTGTAAATTACAATGAATTGGAACTGGGTAGTGCTACTGTGCTGGTCTATAATTTTTGTTAAAAAGTGGCCGCTTTTTAAAACATGAGTTGTTTGTGCATTTGGGTAAAAGCATGTTTATTTCCCCTTGACCCTCTTTAGTGACTATTTACTTCTCTGTTTCTTGCTTTCAGTAAGACCCCTGAGAGAAATAACTGTGATTCTCCCTATAAGGTCTTAAAGTTGAATAACCACAATAGTACCCCAGGGAAATTAAGTCCCCAGGAACCAAAGGAAAGGCCTGTTGTTGGCAATTCTGCAATCTATGATGGGAAATGCGGCACCAGGGACTCATATTCATGTTTTCACCCAAGTCACTTAGAAAACTGTTTCTACCTTTGAAACATTAACCATCTGCAACAAACTTTGCAATTAACTTCAAGGTTGAAATCATCAATATGATTTCCTTTTAATGCTCAGAGCTGCGTTAGCTGATGCATTCTAGTCAGGGTAGAACCAGGATAGCTTTGATTATCTGGTATTGAAAAAAGAGGATAAAAAGCAAAACTAATATGTTATCTTATCTATTTGAACTTCAAGTATTCTCTGTGCTGCTGAATTTGGTATCTGTACAATCCAGTTTTCCTGAACGCTTACTTGGGCATTTCCTTTTAGGTGTATACAGGTACTTGTAAGTTTGGAATTCATTCCTTTTCTATATCTTGTCTTAGAGAATGGCATCCAAGCTTGAAATCTGAAAAACGCCTTTATGAGTTCTTTCTTACTTAAATCCCACAGCCAGGGTGATGAAGCCCTATTTGTTTTAGACTTAGTATCTCTCCAATATTTTTACTTCTCTTAATCCCATGGCCTTTTCCCAGATAGTTCAGACCTCATCATTTCTTGCCTAGATGTTGTAACAACCTTTTATCTGGTTTCCCTGAGCTAAATTTTGGCTGAAATCAATCTCTCATCCCCCCAACTAGCTGCAACCTTGCTAATGACATTTCATCGTCATAACTATTGTCATTCCGGGTAGGCTTCAGGGGAAGCTCCAGACCTCTTAGGATGCGACTCAAGACTGTTGTACCTCTTAGCCCTCAATTAAAAAAACGATGTTGTTAGGTGCCATTGAATCAGTTCTGACTCATAGGGACTACAAAACCAAACACTGCCTGGTCTTGCACAAACATCACAACCGTTGCTGTCAATGTTATTGATGATTTTCCTATTTCTTGATGACTGTACTGTATCAAGCATGATGTCCTTCTCCAGAGACTGGCCCCTCCTGACAACACGTCCAAAGTATGTTAGATGAAATCTCCCCATCCTTGCTTCTAAGGGACAGTCTAACTGTACGTCTCCCGAGATAAATTTGTTGGTTCTTCTGGCAGTCCGTGGTACTTTCAGTATTCTTTGCCAACGCTATAATTCAAAGCCAACAATTCTTCTTTGTTCTTCCTAATCCATCTTACAGCTTTTGGAAGTGAGTGAAACGACTGAAAATACCATGGCTTGCATTGAGCACACCTTAATTATCAAAGTGACATCTATGCTCTCTCTCACTTTAAAGATCAATGCAATATGTTATTTGATTTCTTGATTGCTGCTTCCCTGGATGTTGATAATTACAAAGCTATAGCTATAGCTACAGTGAATTACTGCAGTTTCCACAGTGCTGTGTTCTATGACTTTCTGTGTTGCCCCTTTTACCTAGAATGCTCTCTTTAAGCTGTTTTACCTTTCAAGACAAGCTCAACTGTCATCCTCTCTGGGAACTCTATCACATACACAGTCTGAGTCACTTCCTCTCTGTTCCATGCATCAGTGGACCCAGACAAATTTGTGTTAATGCATTATTTGCAAAATACTGTGGTACTTTGATTTCCTTAAGAACAAGGATCATGTCTCATTTGTCTTATTGATGCCTGGAACATTGGAGAGTTGAAACAGTGTCAAAATAGTGAGGTGGCTTGAAACTGAGGTTTCAGTTTCTAAAAGTTAATCAAGAAATAGTCATCTGGTGAGTCTTCTGTTAAGAATTTGGTATAATTGAATTCAAAATATATTTGCAAACTCAGAATATTGGGTGCCAAGAAAAGAATGAATAGGCCAATGGTTTTGTTTGGTAGAATAATAATAATAATAAAAAAAAATCAAATGACAAATGGGATTTTCAACTAGTAGGTACTGGTCATTTTTATATTTATTAGTTGGTTTAGTCCTCAGAATATAGTTCTGACTCATAGCTACCCTGTATACGATTCCCAAGGAGCAGCTGGTGGGTTTCAACTGCTGCCCTTGGGTTTGCTTTCCGGTGCTGATCCTACAGTGACACACCAGGATGAATGAGGTAGGTATTATTACCCCATTGCTGACGAGGGAACTGAAATACTGAGAAATTAAGTTGTTCGTTCAAAATCAGTAGGCGGTAGTAGAGGTAGGAGTCTAGGCTTTACTGCTACTTGGAATATAAAAATAGCTCAAATAATGTCCTCTATATGGTTTTGAGTATACTCAGATGTGCATTCCTATAAAGCTAATAATCTTGACTTAAAAGATGTTCGTGTGCTAACTAAAAAACTGAATACAACTTGGGGTAGTGAACAATATCATCTTGTGGCCAGTTAACTCTCCTGCCTTATTTTAAGGAAAATGGAATTAATTTGATTGCATATACATAAACACACAGATTTTATATATATACGCACATTTTGTTGTTACAAATGCTGTGGAGTCAGTTCTGACTCATAGCAACTCTGTATAGGATTCCAAGGGACAACTGGTGGGTCTGAACTGCCAACCTTGTGGTTAACAGTCCAGGGTTTATACTACAACATTATACCAGGACTCCATAAGCACACATTGTCAATGGTAAAATAACATTACCACCAGGAACTCAAAGAATAATTTAGTTCTCAATATATTCTGACACAATGTTTAGGAAATGAAGACAATTCGTTAATGTTTTAAAGCATTTCATTGTGCTTTGAGTGAAAGTTGACATAGCAAATTAGTTTTCCAATCACTAGTGCATACAAAAATTGTTCAGTGACATTGGTTGCAATCTTCATAATATGTCAGCACTTTCTATTTCTTCCCTGGGTTTCCCGTTTTCATTCTTATGCAGTTCCTGCCCCTCCCTGCCTTCTTATCTTTAGTTTGGGCAAATGTTGCTCTTTTGGTCACATATAGTTGATGGTTCTCAGGAGCACATTCTTAGAACAATGATGCCTTTTATTGGCATGCCTATTAATTGGATGATAAATGGCCTCTGGGAGTATCTTCAGTTTCAAGTTAGAAGGTTGTCTCAGGGCAGTAGTCTTGGGGATTCCTCTAGTATCTTTCGGATCTGTAAGCTTGTTTGTTTGTTACTTTGAATTCCCACCTCCCCCCCCCCCCAAATGTTTTATTGTGAATTACGTGATAGTTTACATGGGAGAACATTAGCTTTACATTCATCCTATCATATATTGTTTCCTTGCCATGGTTACAGTTCTCTCCATGCATCATCAACCTGCCCCCTGGTCATCAGCACACAGCCCCTCTCCCTCTCTGGGTCTAGAGTCCCCAGCTGTTCCATCTCTCCAGGTCATCTTCTCTGCCTCCATCTCTGCAATCACTGTTTCTCTGGGTAGAGTCCTGCACTCTGCTCTTCTCCCTTGATGGTCTCAGGGACCTCCACTCCTGGACTGCAAATTCAACCATCCCCTCCTTTTGCTACAAAACGTCTACCTTTATATTTCCAACCCTCACAGTTCGTCCTGATAGCAATTTTTCACTATTGTGCCACATGAGTGTTATCCCCATCTCCTTTCATCAGCCCCGCCCAGACAGATTGGATACTACTCAGTGGAGAGTCTACCTTCCTCCGTGCCCTCTGGATCTAGGCTCCCTCTTGAAAGCTTGTAAATCAGTCATGTCTTCCCTTTGTAGCAGCCCCCCCCCCCCGCCCCCACCTCTGTTTTGGGTAGCCAATTTTTACTTTGAATTTTGTTTTAAATTTTAATTGCTCTA